TCATACTTCCTTTGGAAAATCACATCATTCTTGGATTGTACCATCTTAATCCCCAAAAAGTATCGAAGTCTACCAAGATCATTTGTTTAAAAGTGCTAACAAAGGTGTTGCTTTATCTTTTCAATATCATGATGATCACTTCTTGTAATGACAATGTCATCTACATACACAGTTAAGTAAATACAACTTGAGGTTGAATGATGATAAAAAATAGAGTGATCAGCTTCACTTTGAGTTAGGCCAGATTGTTGAACCACAATGTTGAATCTGCCAAACCATGCCCTTGGAGATTATTTGAGATCTTAAAGGGATTAATGGAGATGACAAACAAATCCTGAAGACTCCTGATAAGGGACAGAAAAATGAAACAGAATTGAAAAGTTGAAATAGAAATTTATATAGAAAATCTAAGATATTTTACAACACAGGTTTTCGAGAGCCTGTCTCTCCACAATTCAGATTCTTCCTAATTTCCAGCACGCCTTTCCTAATTTGGTTTACTTCTATTTATACTGCATCTAACATCCATTCCTAACCGATATAATTATTCAGAATAGTTGTGACTGTTTGGTGGTTTGCACCCCTTGGGTGTTGTGCGCCATGTGCACCTTGCTAGTGGTGGTCCAGGACTATTGCTTTTCTTGCTTATTGTTTGCGAGTGTAAACCCTCGTGATGGGTGGTTTACGCTTATCATTACCCTTGCCTAAAAGACTCACCTTGTCCACAAGGTGATAATCTAGAAAAACCTCTTGTAATTTAGCCACAGATTCCCAACTATTTTCACTTGTAGGGAGATTCTACCACTGAATTAAGACTTTCATGTTGCCCAGTTGTAATTCACAAATGTCTAAAACAGAGTCTAGATAAACCTATAATTCTTGATCCCCAGATAACATAGGTGGTAAAGGTTGGGATTGGAAAGAATCACCAATGGCCTTCTTGAGGAGAGAGATATGAAAGGCTGGATGAATTTTACTATGAGATGGAAGATTCAATTTGTAAGCAACAACACCCACCTTGTTTAACACCTAGAAAGGACCATAAAACCAAGGGGAGAGTTTTTCATTAATCTTTTTAGCTAAGGACCTTCTCTTGTAATGTTGCATCTTCAAGAACACCCAACCACCGACTGCATATTCCACATCTCGAGGAAGTTTGTTGGCATTTGCGCGCATGACATCTTGAGACTTTAGTAAATTCTCTCTTAGAGTAGCCAATAATTCATCCCAAGCAATTGTAAGTTTATTGACTTCTTCAAGACAAGAAGGGATGGTGAATCCCTTAAGAATATGGGGGGGATCTTGTCCATACAAAGCTTTGAAAGGGACATTTTGCTTGAAGCGTTATAATTGGTGTTAAACCAGAAATTCTGCTAGAAGACAAGAGACCCATTTCTTAGGCTTTGTACCAGTTAAGCATCGTAAATAAACTTTTAAGCATTGGTTGACCACTTCTGTCTATCCGTCAGTTTGGAAATGGTATGCTGAACTGAACTTTAGCTGTGTTTCTGTTAAAAAGGGCTTTCTAGAAATTGCTTAAAAACAAAGGGTCACGATCTAATGGAAGATGGGAATCCATGTAATCTTACAATTTCCTATAAAAAGACTGTAGCAACTTCGGTAGCAGTGTAGGGATGTCCTAATGGTATGAAGTGGGCATATTTAGTGAGTCGGTCAACCACCACCAGAATTGTATTCTTCCCTATAGATTTGGGCAGTCCTCCAATAAAATCCATAGAAATATCTGCCCACACTTTAGTAGGAATTGGTAATGGCTATAGCAATCCTACTAAAGACAAGTTGTCGCTTTTGTTTCTATGACAGACTTCACAAGTAACAACAAAATTCTTGATGTCAATTTTCGTCCCTTCTCAATAAACTAGATTTGTTATTCTTTTGTAAGTCCTGAAAATTCCAGAATGTCCTCTGATAAATGCAGATTTTACTAGTATTTTACCTTAGTTTTTAATACATTTGATATGAAAAACATGATGGAAAGAGTTGAAAAACTCATAAAAATAATAGAATGTTCAATTTATTTCTAAATAGTTTAATTGTTTAGATTTTTTGAATTTTCTATGTAAAAAGTACTAATTAGAACCTATTTTGTAGGAAACTTTGAGTTGAGATCATAAGGTTGAGGATTAAGGGAGAAAGATAGAAGAAAAGTAGCAAATCTGGAAACAAGGAACAAGAATTGATGAAGATGTGTTGGGCATTATCACTTTCACTAGCGAAAGTGACAACGCACAGAAATAAGGTTGAGGATTAAGAACAAAAACTTGTTACAATTTCTAAACACTAGCAAGTGTACTAGGAATTGTAGCAAGTAATGAGTAATTTTAAGATCAGAGTATCGTCTCTACAGGGAATAAGGAATTCAAGTATCACTTCACAAAACAATAACTAGTTGAGCCATACGAATTTGGAAGAGTTATAACATGTAGAAAGTAAGAAACAAGAACAATTAAAAGGTAAGAAACTTGCAGCAAAAACAGAGTACGAATTTGATGTTGAGATTAGAAATAGATGAATGATAGTTAGGAATTTATTTCACTAGAATATCAATATTAATTCAACTAAGCCTCTGAACATTCAAGCAATTGGTTAATTGACAATCGGTTTCACTTATTAATAGTCAAAGGTCAATCCCTTAACTCATTGACCCTAACGATCAACTAAACCACCCTAATCCCTTAGGTGAAGTTCAATTTCAAGTTGCATTAAGATTCAGAACCATAGGATTGCAGAATTAGGTTCCTTATCCCTAAGAAACCCCTAATTCTGGTAGTTAATTCAGATCAGAGAAGCAAATCCAATTCTCATTGGTAAAGGCTCCACTTTGATTAATCAACCAAATTTCCATTCAAAAATTATGTGAACAACAGAATTAATCACTCAATTAATCCAAAAACTCAAAGTTTAGAGTCAAGAATCAAATCAATACATCAATTTAAGATCCATAAACTCCTAACTATGAAGAATTAAGCAGCCTGTGCGTTGTCACTTTCGCTGGTGAAAGTGAATGTTCCAGATAAACTCAATCACAGCGAGTAGCGCGTTACCACTTTCGCTGGTGAAAGTGGACGTTCCAGTGTGTATTATCACTTTTGCTGGTGAAAGTGAGCGTTCCAGAGGACTTCAATCTCAGCAAAGCTCTGCGTGGTTACTCTTTCTGGCAAAAGTGGATGTTCTAGAAAGAAGTGTTCTAAGGCAACTAGCGTGTGGTCACTCTTGCTGGCGAAAGTGAACACGTGCAGTACTTGACGTCCTGCGTTGTCACTCTTATCAGTAAGAGTGATAACGCACAGAATCAGAAATTTCTATAAATACTAGAAACGCTCAGATTTTTGGGGTCTTTTGCTCATTTTTTGTTTTTTACTTCTTTTCTTCGTTCAAAGAGAGTCAGAGAGAAGATTGGGGACGAACATCGAGATCCAAGAAGAGGAATCGGATTGTGGAATCGATTGAAGATGACTCTTCTATGTTCTTCCTCTTCTTCATCTTCTTTCTCTTTCTTCGCTATCATGTTTGCTTAATTCTTCATAGTTAGGAGTTTATGGATCTTAAATTGATGTATTGATTTGATTCTTGACTCTAAACTTTGAGTTTTTGGATTAATTGAGTGGTTAATTCTGTTGTTCACGTAATCTTTGAATGAAAATTTGGTTGATTAATCAAAGAGAAACTTTTACCAATAAGAATTGGATTTGCTTCTCTAATCTGAATTAACAACCAGAATTAGGGGTTTCTTAGGGATAAGGAACCTAATTCTGCAATCCTATGGTTCTGAATCTTAATGCAACTTGAAATTGAACTTCACCTAAGGGATTAGGGTGGTTTAGTTGATCGTTAGGGTCAATGAGTTAAGGGATTAACCTTTGACTATTAATAAGTGAAATCGAATGTCAATTAATCAATTGCTTGAATGTTCAGAGACTTAGTTGAATTAATATTGATATTCTAGTGAAATAAATTCCTAACTATCATTCATCCATTTCTAATCTCAACATCAAATTCGTACTCTGTTTTTGCTGCAAGTTTCTTACCTTTTAATTGTTCTTGTTTCTTACTTTCTACATGTTATAACTCTTCCAAATTCGTATGGCTCAACTAGTTATTGTTTTGTGAAGTGATACTTGAATTCCTTATTCCCTGTGGAGATGATACTCTGATCTTAAAATTACTCATTACTTGCTGCAATTCTTAGTGCACTTGCTAGTGTTTAGAAATTGTAACAAGTTTTTGGCGCCGTTGCCAGGGAATTTGTGTTTCAATATCATTAGTAGCAGAGAGGTAGCTAGATTGAGCATTTATTTTTGTTGTTTTGCTTTCAAATTTTTCTACATGATTTTTTTCCTGCATTTTGTGTAGTTTTCTGCACTATTTTCTTCTATTTTCTGCATAAGTTCATTTTGCATTTTTCTACATGGCTTTACAATTTTTCTGCATAATTTTTTTTTTTTGCATTCTTAGTAGTTTTCTGCATAATTTTTGCACTATGTTTGTTGCATAAATTTTTTGTATTCTTTTGCATTTTTCTGCATAATTTCATTTTTCATTTCTCTGCATAATTGTAATTTTCATTCTGCATAATTTTCTATGTTTTCTGCATAATTTCTGTATCATTTTCTATTGAAATTTGCATGATTCTATTTTGTACTTTCTGCATAATTGTCTAATTTTTTTTTTTGGCATAATTGCATTGTTGTTTCTGAATTTAGTTGTAGTTTTCTGCAATGTTTTGCAATAATTTTGTGCATAATTCATTTTTACTTCTTCATAATTTTCTAGTTTCGTTTATATTTTGTTTACTTTCTTTTTGTATACAAGGAAAAACCAAAAATAAAGCTGCTCTATTGTTTGATCTAGATACAAACAAGGCTCTTAAGCAATTGAAGGGTGAACTAAAGGCAAGGAAGTTGTAAAAGAAAGTGCAGAAGATAACATCCACTTTTGAAGAACCAAGTGTGACCCAAACATTACCAAAGGAGAACAATATGGTTGAAAACAGTAGGACAAGGACTTTGGGAGATTATGCCATTTCAACTATGCAGGGTTATAATTCAAGTATTGTTAGACCAACAATTAAAGCCAACAATTTTGAGATCAAACCTGCATTAATAAAATTGATACAGCAAGATCAGTTCTTTGGAAATGTTTTAGATGATCCTAATCTGCATCTCTATTTTTTTCTGCAGCTATGTGACACCATTCGTATCAATGGTGTAAGTGAAGATGCTATCCGCTTAAGATTATTTCCCTTTTCTCTTAAGGACAAGGCTAAATATTGGCTTCAAGCTCAACCACAAAGAAGCATCACTAGTTGGATTGACTTAGTGAACAAATTTCTAATTAAGTACTTTCCACCATCAAAATCTGTCAAGCTGCGAAGTGAAATCACCTCTTTTGTTCAACAAGATGGTGAATATCTTTATGATGCATGGGAAAGATATAAGGATCTGCTGAGAAGATGTTCTCATCATTGCATTCCAGAGTGGATGCAAATCCAAACTTTCTACAATGGGATGAATGTTGTCACAAAAACTATGGTAGATGCAGCAACAGGAGGTTCATTGAATACTAAAACTGTAGAAATAGCTCAACAATTAATTGAAATGATGGCAAACAGCATGTATCAGAGTTTCAGTGAGAGGCATGTTCCAAGTAAGGGAGAATTTGAAGCAAAGACACTTGAGACTTTGATCAACCAAAATCAAATGAAAAATCAATTACTTTTTGAACAACTTGCAGCCTTGACTCAACAAATCAATACTTTTCAAGCTGGAACTGTAAAAACAAGCAACTTGATATGTGATTTTTGTGGAGGAAATCATATGAATGGAGCATGTGATGTATTTACACCAGAGCATCAAGAACATATTAATTACTTTGGTGATTTTCAATATCTAGCCAATAGAAGTCAACCACATTATTAATGGAATCAACAAAGTCCTACATCAAAAAGTGATATTGCAGTAGCACCATTGTCCTATGCCTATTTTTAGCCTTCGTGGTCATATTGTCAAACTTCTTCATCTCAACCTCCAATAGAGCCACAATTTTCAAAACCTTTGTCTAAGAGGATGAATGAAATGGAGGAAGCACTGCTACAATTTATAGAAGTTACACAGTCCAACTTCAAAAATCAAGAGGAATCTATAAAGAAGTTGGAGACTCAAATAGAACAAATTTTACAGCAGTTGGCACATAGGGATGAGGATAGATTTTCTAGCAATGCTATTGTAAATCCAAGGAAGCAATGCCATGCTGTCATATTAAGAAGTGGAGCAGAGGTTTCTAATCTAAAAGATGAGGAGAAGAAGATAGCTATAAAGAATGCTGAAGAAAAAGCTCAAGACAACTTGCAAAGAGGGAAATTCACTCTTTTAAGAAAAGAAAATTTAGAGGACAGTAATTGCACTAAACCAGAATTGCAGAATTCCAAGCAGGAAAAACAAAAGGATGATTCTGTTATAAGAGAAGTCCTTGCTGTAATTAGATATCAAGTTGATGAAGAAGAGGGAAAGAAACCTGTTGAGTATACCAAACTGCTGGAAGTCCCTCCACTTTTATTTTTCTCAAGTTCTGAATTAAATGAAGAGCTGTAAGTTGGTGAGAAAAAAGGGAAACGGTTAAAGATAGAGCAAAAACCGTTATCATCAAAATTATCTCTTAGAACCAAAGATCAATAGGCGTCAAGCTAGTGACATTAAAAGAGGACTTTGTGAGAGACAACTCACACTTCTTTCCCTTTCATTTTTTTTCAATTTCTAGTTTCTAGTTTTATTTTTCTGCATGATCTAAGTTTCTGGTTCCTTTACAATTGCTTTTGACAGTGAAACTGGTATTTTGCTGGAACTTCCACTTTGAGCCTAAAAATGAGGTTAAGCACAAGCTTAAAGGGTCTGCAAAGATTGTTATCATTGCTGTGACATCCATTCTTCTTGCCAAGAGTAGTTACATACTTTAGCATAACCACATAAATTCTTCATCATCATTTTCCTGCTACTTTCTAATTTTCTTCCCTTAACATTGAGCATTTAATTTCAAATCTTTCTGGACATAAAATCAATTGCATCACTTCTACATTGCATCTGCACCTTCAGTTCAGGTAAATCTCTATCCAACCTTGCATTTCTGATTTTAAAATTCTTAAGTTGGGTAGTTAGAGAAATGTTCATTGTTCTTCTTAAGTGCATGATGTCTGAAATTAATTATTAAAACTGGGCAATTGGTTAAGAATGTAAGAGATTATAGGGAACATAATTTCTGAATTTGATGGAGATTGATGAACTCATGGAATTTTCATAGAGGAATGCCTTCAATTCTTGATAAATTGAATTCCTAGTGGTTCACTTCTTGATTCATGTGTTGAATTGTGTCAGATTTCCTGCTAAACTAAAATAAAAAAAAATAAAAATATATAATGTATATATTCATAATTGTTTGTGTATTACGTTCCTTGTTCCATTTTGTGATGAATAATTCAAATTCTTCCTTCATTTCTCTATTTCTGAATTTTGAGTAAACATTCTGTTTGTGTACTTTTTCATGTGATTGTCACACTTCATTTTGAAAAATAAAAAAAATTCTTATCATTGGTGCATATGGATTTGTGAGGTGAATTGTAAGCATGATTGATTGATATTATCACCTTTATTCCAATTGTAAGAATTTGAGCTTTGCAGAATATATTCTTTCATGTGTGATTGATCATAATTTTGCTACACCCTTTAGAACTTACTTTGTTTCTTGATTGAATATGCAATTTTACAGTTCTCACATATATGATGGAGGCCTTCTTTGATTGTGCCTAGATAGCCTAAATGAACCTCCCTTTGTGCTTGAATGTCCTAGTTCACCCCTTTGAGCTTAATATCCCTTTCTTGATTTTCCCTCATTACAAGCCTTGATGAAAAACCAATTTTACGATCCAAAGAAAAAGAGGCATATTGAGTCTAATCAAGGATGAGTTTAAAACTAAGTTTGGGGTGGCATTCAGATTTTATTTGCTTGAGGACAAGTAATGTTCTAATTTGGGGTGGAGAATAGCAAAGCTATCTAAATTTTGGTTTCAAAAGGAAAGAAATAAATAGAAAAAGTTGTGAGTTCAAAAGAAAGATATACAGTAAAATGCTGCAGAAAAAAGCAAAGTGTTGCAGAAAAAGTTGAGTTCAAAAGAAAGATATGCAGCAAAGTGCTGCAGAAAAAAAAAATTGCTATATGAAAAGAAAATTAGAAATACTGTTGCATGAATGAACATTGTTGTGATCTGAAAAAAAATTCTGTTTGCTTCATAATTGAGGGAATTATTGAAAAATAATGCAGTTCCATGCTAGTTTTAAGTTCATTCACTCAAAATGTCTCTTTTCTTTTGGATTTGCATGTATTGTTTCCCATTTTGTTCAATACTTACCTTAACCTTAGCCCTATTATAACCTGAAAAAAGTCCTCTAGATGTGTGATTGACTGTATTAAGCAAAGGAAATTGAGAATATGGGCAAACATATGGTAGGGTGAGGTAAAATTGATGATCTTGAGGGTAAGCACTCACCTTAAACACTTATGAGTGAGAGAGAAACACTTTGTTGTGAGTGGTAATGATATCTTTCATTGATGTTTCACATGTAGCTTTGCTGTTCATTAACTCAAATTTGTAAGATTTTGGATAAAAAGAATTCTTTGTGTGACTTTCATTGTGACTGAATGCATGAATGATTTGTTGAAAGGATAATTGGAAGGAATGATGTGGAATGAAGAAATCTGTACAAACAGAAAATAAAGTCTGTGTAAAAAGATTTTCATTGTTGTTTTGATGATGCATTGAATCCCCCTTGATGTGTTTTGGTTTGCTTGAGGACAAGCAAAAAATCTAAGTTTGGGGTAGTGATAAATGCAGATTTTACTAGTATTTTACTTTAGTTTTTAATACATTTGATATGAAAAATATGATGGAAAGAGTTGAAAAACTCATAAAAATAATAGAATGTTCAATTTATTTCTAAATAGTTTAATTGTTTAGATTTTGTGAATTTTCTATGTAAAAAGTACTAACTAAAACCTATTTTGTAGGAAACTCTGAGTTGAGATCATAAGGTTGAGGATTAAGAGAGAAAAATAAAAGAAAAGTACCAAATCTAGAAACAAGGAACAAGAATTGATGAAGATGTGTTGGACGTTATCCTCCTATCAAGGATGAATGAAATTCTTTTAAAATGATTAAAATTTGCGAGGAAGATTTGGACAACACCAATTTCTCCTTGTAAAATAACTTCTGATCCCGCAAAGTATAGCCAGTATGAGATGCTGTATCGATCATCAAGTCTTGCATGATTTTCTGTAACTTATCATCTTGTTTGGTCCCTTTAGCCCATTCTTCAAACTCCTGTATTTGTAAGATTGTCATGGCACGATAGGAACTTCTCCTAGACAACGGATCGGCGGCAAAGTTTTCCTTTCCTGGCTTGTACTAAATTTCAAAATCATATCTTGCCAATTTGGAAATCCATTTGTATTGTTCCTCGCCGACAATATTCTGATTTGTCAAAAATTTCAAACTTTTTTGTTCAGTTTTAATAATAAAATGGTTTCTCAACAAGTAGTGTCGCCATTTCTGGACTGCTTTCACGACTGCCAGCAACTCGCAATCATACACTGATTTTCTCTAGTTGCTTTCGGATATGGTAGTGCGCCAAAAGGCTATGGGTCTTCCTTTTTGCATTAGAATAGCCCCTAATTCGATTACACAAGCATCAGTTTCAATCACAAAAGGCTTTGAAAAGTCAGGTACTACTAATGTAGGCAATCTGATCATTGCTTGCTTAAGTTGTTCGAAGGCATTTTGTGCCTCTAGATTCCATTGGAAGGCATTTTTCTATAACAGGTTAGTCAATGGCCTTGCTATTCTTCCATAATTATGAACGAACCTCCTGTAATAATTGGTCAGGCCTAAGAGTCTCTTAAGCTGGTGACATTCTTGGGTGTAGGCCATAGCGTCATTGCTTCCAACTTCTTAGGATACGCGGATACTCCTTTAGCAGAAATAGTATTTCCTAGATATTCCAAGTTTTCTTGGCCAAATGAGCACTTCTTGTCATTGATCTTCAATTCACTTTGTTGCAATAATGTCAATACATTTTGCAGGTGTTACTTGTGTTCTTCCATGGAAGGGCTGTGTATTAGTATATCATCGAAGAATGCTAAAATGTATTTCTAGAGTACTGGCCTTAAAACTTCATTCATTAATGATTGAAACGAAGGAGGTGCATTAGTAAGTCCTAACGGAAGTACCAAAAATTCATAGTGACCTTCACATGTGCGGAAAGCGGTTTTTGCAATGTCATCTTCCTTCATTCTGATTTGGTGGTATCCGGATCTTAAAGCCAGTTTTGAAAAGACTCTAGCCCCTCCTATCTCGTCCAACAACTCCTTAATTACGGGGATGGAAAATTTATCGGGAATGGTAATTTTTTTCAAGGCCTTGTAATCTATACAAAATCGCCAATTGCTGTCTTTTTTTCTGACTAGTATGACAGGACTGGAATAAGGACTCGTAGATGGACAAATGATTCCTGCTTTTAACATTTCAGCAACCAATTTTTCAGTTTCTATTTTCTAATAGTGAGGATACCTATATGGTTTGATATTCGGTATTTGGGCTGCTTCTTTGAGGTGAATGGCATGATCCTGACATCATTGAGGAGGAAGTTCTCCTGGGGGTTAAAAAATGGAGGGGAAATCATGTAGGACATCTTTTAATTCTGATGGAATTAAATCCTTCCAATCTATCTCTGTTTGAATGTGATGATAGTTGATAAGAAACCCTTCTCCCTATTGCAAAGCTTTCAACATAGAATTCAGTGAGGTGTCTTTCTTTGAAAGTTCTGGTTCTCACTTTAAAATCACCTTTCTGCCATCAATCTTGAGGGCTAGTGTTAGTTGTTCAAAGTTGGCTCTAATTTCTCCCAGGCTTGCTAACCATTCCATACCTAAAACAACATCCACACCTCTGAGGCCAAACAAGAAGAATTGTTGTTGCACCTGTACTTCTTGCACTTTCAAGGGAACTTCTTTGCATACTCCCTTACATTTAATTTTGTAACAAGTGTCATCCACTTTAATTGTAATTTTTCTACTAGTTCCTTGGAAATGAAGTTGTGGGTGAAGCCGCAATCTATCAATTCTACAACTTTATGGTCATAAATATTTCCCCAAACCTTCAAGGATCAGCGGGAAGTAAACCCCATGATACTATTCATGGATAGTTAGGGCGTTTCACCAATTTCTGGTTCGGGTTCCTCTTTGTAGTCTTTAATGCCATCTTTATCTGTTACTAACATTATCTGAAGTTATTTATTTTTGCATACATGAGAGGTGCTCCATTTTTCTTCACAGCGAAAACATTCTCCTTTCTTCCTCTTCTCTTAAAGTTCTGCTTCGGTTAATCGTTGAAATCCTTTGGGTCGGTTGTTGTTATCTGGTTTATTCACAAATGTACTGCCAACAAAAGAATTAGAAGGGTCATTAATTTTTCCTCCACCTTTTCGACTAATATCATAAATAATTGTCTTTGTATAGGATGGACTTGAGTAAGAGGTGTTGAATTTTGGATTTGAGTTTGAAATAACATTCAGTCCCACTTTCCAAATTCTTCTATCTTTTTGGTCGATCATTAATGCCTTCTTAACCATGATTGATAAAGTGGGGGGTTCATGGTGTTTAATTTTGCCCCAATGCCTTCCTTTAATCCATTCACAAAAATGTCCTTTAAATGTTCTTCACCAACATTTTTTGCATACCTGCAAACCTTTCGAATTGCTCAACATAATATCCCATATTTTCTTCTTGTTTAAGTGCAAAGAGGGCAGCAAATAGGTTGAGAGTGGTTGAAGTTTGGAACCTTTCAAGAATGGCAAGTTTGAGATCTCCCTATCCGATATCAGAATTGCAAGTCTCCCACCATTGGAACCA